CCCCAAAACCCCAAAACCCCAAAACCCCAAAACCCCATAAAATATGAAAAATATTGAAATTTATGCATTTGTCGATGGTATATTCAACAAGTAAGTCAGCGTAATAAGTCTTTGTATCTTTCTCTTCCTTTTAAAATGCTGGTAAATAGAATAGTCCAGATAATCTTCATAGTGTTTCCCGATATTCATTGAAAGGGAGTAGATGAGATTTAGACATGATATTCCAAAAAGAAGGAGAACCACATTTCCAAAATTTCTTGTGTAATACATAAGAACTCCTTCATCTTTCTTCACTCCTTTATTTATAGTGCTCATATCAGCCTCATGGAAGATATCTTGGTTGATAAAATGCTTAATGTCATGCTTCTTCCCATCAGAATCTGATGGAGGGGCTAGATGATGCTCTTCTTGCTCTCCTTTCTCTAAAATAGAGTTTATTTAACAAATTACTCATCTTTCTCCCTACAAGAAGTAGATCATATTCAGTTTTGTTAGTATTCTCATCAATAATATTCATCCCTTGTGGTAAGCTACTCAGATCTACCTTATCAGCCATCACTTCGCTTTGCTTGAGAGATTTTACATTTCCTAGATCTATCTGTACAAGGTCTTCATTGATCTGACTCTTCCATGCAGATTTCTTCTGGGTTGTCACCTATCAAATTAAATAGAGAAATACCTTAACTCTTTTGTCATGAAAATCAATAATGTTGTCTTGAAGAGTTTTATGAGCAAGTTCATTGCCGTCTGAATAAATGTTTCTTCCTTCATTTATAGAGCCAGTCCTAGTCCCAAGTCCCTCAATGACCAAGTCTTTCCTCTGGAGAGCCAATGCTTCTTCCATCGTGACTTCCTTCTCCTCGATCTTGAAGAATATATTCTCCATAGCCTTTTCAGCAACTTTATGGACTCTGGAAGTGGAGGTAGCGTCTAAGGAGTATTTTTCGTCCAGAGGCTTGATAGCTTTAGTCCTATGCTCTTGTATACTGACTATAGAGGTAGAAATGTACAATACCTGTCCTAGTTTTGGCCTGAATTGCTCTTTCTTCTCTGCTTTGGAGATCACTAAAGTTTTATATGAAACTAACGTTTTCTCCTTAGTGCTTCAAAATCTTGGATTCGTTCTATAAAGACTATTTCTCAAAGAACTTCTGACGATATTCCGTCTTCTAGATATAAGGTAGCAGGACTTACCCACCCAGTAGAACTTGTCTGAACATCTCTGGTAGAAAATAATTTTACAATATTTGTGGATTTAGAAGGGGTTTTGGGGTTTTGGGGTTTTGGGGTTTTGGGG